CTGGAATTTCTTGAGGTAGTTGGACAGTCCAACATGGTTTTACTTTTGAAATACTATGCTAAAAGGCAAAAATGGATACAGGTCTGTAATTAGAAGTTGAGCATCTGTCACCATTTTTTAAGTACTGCAGCAATCTTACTACTTTTTGGCTCATGGGGAAATGCACCAGAGTCACAAATTATGCTATTAATGCAGTGGAGCGAATCTGCAATAACATGAGCAATCATCTTTATATGGTTAGCGCAAATACTCTCAATACCTGCACTAGAAAATTTTATGCTAACAATTGGGCTTGTAACTTCATCAGGCTTAGTAGTAAAAAAATGAGTGACTACAATGAAGTTTGTCATGTGAAGCAGGAAGGGGAAAGGAGAAGTAGTCAATAAGTGCATTGGCAATGTCTAGTGGATTTCACAACACCGAACTATCATGACTGATGGTGGATATATCGGTGGACTAATGGTTTTATTAGTAAAAAAATGATGAGTCCCCAATGCGTTTTTACATCTGACACAGTACAATTGATTTCAATTTGATAATAGTGCTTTGTCGCTTTTTTTATAACGGGATGCAATTTGATACAATATTGGTTGTAGCGATTAAGCAGGCGCAAGTTAAATGGTTGTCATTCTGTTTTCTTATAGGTTGTATTTTTACTTGGGCTTTTAAGTAAGCCTTTCGTTAACTGCACAGTTTTAGGGGAGGCTTAATGTTGATGGCATTGCATACTTGTTGACGATGAAGATTTGCAGTTGTATTTGAAATGTCAACGCCCTATAGGTGGCGCACCGTGCAATCCGAAATGACTGCGGAAAGATGATCAACCCATGAACTCGCATAAGATAGGAAGCACGAACTTATTCCTCGTGCCACTTTCACCTCACGAACTCTTCTTCTCAAATGAAAGTATATCAGACCAAAGCACTTTTCCAACAAATAGAAACGGCTGAATGTTCGCTACCTCATTTCTCGGCACAGTGCAAAGGGTGGTGGTGTCAGCTGATCGACCGTGCGTTAACGGTGCTGTGCGTAATTCTGTGCGTGCTAGGAAAAACTGCGCGAACTATAATTCACATATGAACTGAACGGCACTCCGAGATCATTACTCGCAGTGGCCTACTACTGCGGCGTATTCGCCGTAGTAGTAGGCCACTAGCTAGTAACTCGCCGTCACAGCTGCACAAGAGCGAATCTTTAACGTGGGAATCGTTTGCAAACATATTACGCCATCGTCATTACTTAAGCTGTAAGCATCATGCAGCTGCTTCTTCAACAAAACACAACCATTTAACTTCCGATTTAGTAGTGCTTCTGTCAGGGCCATGATCATACTCTAAAAGTGCGCGATTCCCTCCACTCAGATGTTGCAGGTTCAATCAGCGCCATCAAAACAAGGATATTGACATGCGTACGCTTCTAGAAACGTCGAAATCGCGAAAATTTGTCGAAGAACAACATCATTCGAACAGCACTGGTGAAGTTCAGGAGAAGTTAGCGTGCGTGGTATACTCGTAAGTACATATTTAATTGATCTAACCGTTTCGCTTTGATGGTCGAGTTCGAGCGTGTTAGCGGCATGCGGCGCTTTTAATATCCAACTGTAATTAGACACATTCAATACACAAGAAAAAGTATGATTTTATTTAGAGCTTGCTGAAGGATATTACAGAATAAATACAATCAAAGTGACTTACGATTGGGAAAAAAACGTTAACGAACGACGGTACATGAAGTGCGACTCTCTGCTTGTGAGTTAGCAGCTGATCGTTCATCGTGACTTTCACTCTCCGCGCGTTGACCACCACCTACGTTCAGTAAAAACTCCTCGACGTCAAGACGGTTTCTTTGAACATCACTGCTGAAAGTGATCTGTGGAATTCTCTCCGCCAAATGACTTCAATGGCACCAACAACGCGTCACTCGCCACGCACAACACCCACACGGCATCACTCCCCACGTTTATCTGAGGTGCAGAGAACATTTCGCTCCGATACTCGGCAAAAAAGGAACCGCTTGCTGTGTTCTGCCATCTATCAACGAACGTAAAAACAGGCGGCGCAGCACAGGCCAAGGTTTCGAAGCGCAAATCGCGAGCCTGCGCTACTTTTAGTGCACAATGAACGTTATATGATTCATGCACTACAAAAGCACTAACGAATGCTATCCACACGTAAAACAAGGCGAACTTCAACTTGAATGGTCAGACGAGAACATTCAGCTATCCAAAGTGGCTGCAGAAAATATTTCGAAGCTGATGTGTACGCTGCGAGCTATATTCGAAAGCGCGCGTTGCCACATATTTTTCCAAAAACTTCACTTCTCGCAAGAACGAACCATATTTATCGTGTCACGGATGTTTCAATATATTCACTGATGCACAAAACATACAAAGTGATTTGTATTAATTTCTTGCTAAGCGTTAACACCGCGGCTAGCAGCGCCGAAAAAGAGAGCATTGGGAGCGTCTGCCTACAGATCATCCTTGAGAGGACGCTCCTGAATTCTGCTAGGTGGCTTGGCAGTCCATGAACACTGCGAATAACATGGAGATGAATGTGGTGTATTCTGATTCAATAGTGTTCATTGAAGTGACACGAGATCAACCAGAATTCAGCATCATTTCTATAAATTGTTTACGCTCAAGCTTTCTGGTGACAAAGCCTACGTTATTAATACGAGTACTAGTGTAAATGAAAAGAGCAACTGGGAAGAAATCCATATTTTGTTTCAAACAATGAATGTGGAGGAGGGTGAAGAAAGTTAAATAGAGCATGATCAATAAGAGTTCCGAATCTATTATTACTGCAACGTGCCGGAAGGAAATGTAAAAATTAGAGACCATAGCCCTGGATGCAACTTGCAAGCTGGGCTGCAAAGGAAGAAGTATCAAGTAAATTTATGTTACTATCACCCATGATGATGACGAATTTTTTCCTTTAAAAGAGTGCCAAAATTGAGATCAAGTGCTTCACAAAATGCACGAATTGATGTATGTGGTGATCGATAATCGGTACCAAAGACAACATTATTATTATCAGCATATATTACAGAGTGATCTACTTCTATCCACACTGAATCACAATCACGGATATTTGAGAGCAGATCAAGCCTACGCTTGTATAGAATGCCAGAACGAATTAACATGGCTGAGCAACCATGTTAGTATGACGTGTGATTACAGTATTCTGAACTGTAAAACAGAAAACCATAGAGAGTTTTGCTCAAATGGCTCAGCCATGTTTCAGAAACACATATGATTGAAAATAAATGGAGACCAGACAGTAACATTTCGGAATTCTTAGAGTGCGAAAACAACGCGAGTTGATGTGAATCACTGGATGACGATTGTTCGAAGAGCAGGACCTCGTTTCACTAGTGCAAGTGTATGACGTAAGATTAGAGGAACAACAAAGTATAGGTAAAAACGTATAACTACTTTAAGCGCAAATCGCAGGGTTGAAATCCCACCCGTTTCGAAAAACTCTCCTGTCTTTTCTCTTCTCCTTTAATCCTCTCACCACTTCCCCCAGTGCAGGGTAGCAAACCGGGCGTGCGTCTGGTTGACCTCCTTGCCTTTTATTTCTTCCCTTCCTCCTCCTCCTGTATTTTGACTGTCTCACCTTGATGAAGCAGCAACAGTCCACGAAAAATGCCACTTTGTTTCTTTGTTTGGTGTCAGAACTTTGCTGAATAATTGCCTCTTTTGAGGAGTGAGGTGATCATTGACAAAAACAGGTCTGACTTTTTCTTTGTGGAAACCAATGGCACTAGTGCTAAGGCATGCCTTGCAGGCTTTGTCTATGAAATCAGTTTTCAAGGCTCGAGAGTGAAATCGGGCTGGCAAGTCCTTTGTATTGGACGCTGACGGAACACGATGTACAACTTCTATATCACTAGCAGGAAGCTAGCAGTTTATTTTAGAGGTGAGGGATTTGTTCAGGGACTCAACAGTTTTGGTCAGAAAATCAAGGTTGCTCATACGTTCCTCAATCTCGTCCTTTAGCCCTGTAATCATCAGGAATTGCTGGCAATCTAGCTTGGGCGCAACAATTGTCGTTACCTTCTCAAGAAGGTTATCAAGCTTATCGCTAAAAGTATTTTCGAGTTGTTTCATGCGTTTAGACAGTACAGCAACAGTTGGCATGATTAATAGATAACACCGAAAGTAGCAGCAGGGGCAGTGTAAATAGTTTTGCCATGAATGACTGAAAATGGGCATAATCATTGATCTTGCTGGGATTACCCTACATTTCTCTACTATTGCAGAGTTTGCTTTTGATGAGTTCACATTGTATGGAGTATCCGTGTCTTTTTTTTTCTCTGTGTACATGATCACGACAACAATGCCTTCGCATGAAAGTAGAACCATAATAACGAAATTGCATCTTTGCATGAACACTTGCTGCATTTAGGATTCTGTGGTTTAGATGAAACTCAATATTTACTGTTGCCTACTAATTTTGAAAGACTGTTTGCCATTTCTTTCGAAGGACATTGAACCTTGTGTAAAGTTCAAGGTGAGCGTTTTTTTTTTCTAATAGAAAGCTCGTTTTTGCTAACGCTTATCTTCCAACTTCCCCGACAACTGTCTGCTAGAAGGAATTCTTGAGGTCCTGTTTTCGACGAGCCCTGACTGGTTTTTATCAGCTCCTTGTTTGAGCGAACGCAGGAAACTAAAAGATAAACTTTCGGTAACAAGCGTACCTAAAAATAGAAAGAAATGAACTCCCAAACCTGCTCTTGATCACCGTGTGGTTTTGCAGAAACTATCGTGGCGGTTTCTTACGGAAGGAAGAAGTGAGTGCCGCTTGTCAGGCCCTAGCCGATGCTTAACACTGATAAGCCTGTTCTGAGTATAAAGGTGGGGGATAGTATAAAAGATGGTGGGCATAAAACAGCCTGCAAGAAAAAGCAATGATTATCGCCGCCGGTTCTTTTTACTTGTGAGAATTTATTTCTACGGTTTACTTTTCGCTGTATATATTTTCTCTGGGTGTTCTCACAGTGATCTTGAGCTGTCGTATAAAATAGAGGTTGCTGGTACGCAACCGCCACTCGCCCGGTATTGCGTCCTTCCTGACAGAGCGAGGACCCCGAGAAGACCTTCATCGAACAAGATGGGCTTGTGGCACGTGTGCACATGCGTGGTGCTGGCCGTGCTGGTTGGTGTCGTTATTGCTGCCAATCGGGGAGAACGAACGGACGCGTTTCGGGTAAGTTAAACTGATTTCTGCTCCGGTAACTATTTCGCAACGAGCATACTTATTTCGCTTACCTGCGTGAGTCGTACTTGTTAATATCAGAGTTTATATTCGCACATTGAATTTTTGTGCATATGTGGTGCCAGAAATTATACCACCGGAAGTTAACAAATTGTCTTCTAAGATGAAAACTGTGAATTAATCTTTGATTCACCTAAACAAGCAAAATATTAGAACACAATATATTTCGGGCTGGCATGAAAAAAAAACGGCAGCGGTACATTTTATAGAATTGACCTTTACAAAACCTAACATGCTCACAAGCGGCGTATGGAACTGAGCCAGTTGGTTGAACTTCATTATGAAAATCTGTGCAAAAAGACGACGCATAAGATGAAGTTTTGTGAGCTCTTAGGTCCTATGTATAGATTTTTTGTGCGCTGCTTTTTAACGATGGTGCTTACAATGCGTGTCCCTGCGAGCACCTACTGTAACTTAGAACAAGGGGCAAAATGACTTTTCCTTATGCATTTCTGTATACAATACGTAGCATATTAGGTAAGTGATAGCCCATTAAAAGCATTCGAAAGCAGTGAATGATACCGGAAAAGTCCTTACGTTTTTGGAGTGCTTCGTCCGTAGGCTTTGATATCACAGATTGTTCATCACCAAAGCATGTGCTCTGATACATCTTCAGGACCATATAAAAGTTTGGATGACTCAAGCGATTCTTAGCCGCATTACGCAGACGGCGCCACGAAAACGAACAATATATTTTAGTGCATGATTATTTCAGTGTACGTGCTCCATTTACTTAAGAAGTAAAGGTATATACGAAGCGTTTCGCATCAACAAAACGTGTGGGAAAAAAACAGATAGCTGTGCGGACATATCAAAGGTAAACGGTGTCTTTCTTTTGCTTTTTAAAATGTACTCGCATGGACATGTGTATAACAAGTAGTTTTGGAAAGTAGAGCGTTGTCTTTAAAAGAAAGTAGTGCTTTTAGTTGTTCGTCTAGTAGAAGAACGGCTATTTGGACTGAATAGCAAAGTGCACTTTGAAAAGGTTTCCAGAATAAGTTCTTTAGTTAGTAACCGAGATTTATTCTATCATTTTTTTTAGTTCGATCACAGTGAGTCATTTGTGAGTCATTTTGAAACGTTGGGAAAACTCCTGGATACACCTTCTCGTACGTTTAAAGTTAAATCGGGTAGATTGAAAAGGCATTATCTTGTGGTATGAAACATCGCTTAAGCAGTGAGTGGCAGGTAAAACAAAGAGCCACACGAGGATATTCATAGGAAGTCCGGTAGTGTGGTCAAGCAAGATGTTTGCGGCGGAACCATACAATTCTACATTCCAGAAAACCTGTCAGGTGCAAGGTTTCGCCCAGCTGAAGCAACTTGGTCAGCTTGATTATTTTGATAGAGATTAAGCTTATACAAATGGTAAGCCTTGCTGCTCTGGAAAATTCAAAACATCGTATTTCTACACGCAGAAGATGATATGCGTCTTGCAACAAGCACAAAAAGAAAACTTCTTTTACTTTTTTCATAGAATGCCCCAAAAAGAGGTATATATGAACAAACTAATAATATATATATATATATATATATATATATATATATATATATATATATATACATATATATATATATATATATATATATATATAGAAAGAGAGAGAGAGAGAGAGAGAAAGAGAAACATGAACGCAAAAGAAAAAAAGAGCGAAAGTAAAAAGGATGAAAATAAAGGAAGCATACCAAAAAAATGGAAGTACGAGAAGAAAAAAGAAAACCACAAATTGATTAGGAAGTGTGGCATCTGAAGATTGTAAGACGAACGTGAACATTGCAAAGAAGCCATGCCACCATTGACCACAAAATACACCCCACGCACCCCCCCTTTCCCAAGTGCAAATTGTGACGACCCACGTTTAGTATTTCGCCTTCCGGTGCAATCCGCTGGCGGCTTATCGACCTTTGAAGTTTACGGCGAATCGGTGGGGGGAATATAAAGTGCTTCGAGTGCATGTCAGTGGTGCCGGAAGGTATAAAAAAGCCGGCAATGTGACACCGCCATCGATAATATTTGTATGCATTGGCTGCTGTCAGTGAAAGGAAAGGAAAGATGCATAAAAACAGAAAAAAAAAAAAACAAAATAAAAGACTGTACGACATTCGGGACCACATATCTGTGTGTTCTGGCTGTGCTCGAAGCGGCAAAACAATTCTATACTGTTAGATTCATGCGCTTACAGCTCTGTCAGGTGATAATATTACTGTCGCAACGGGATGCTATGGGCAGAGGACTGATTAGAAAGCGGCGTTTGCGTTGTTTAATTATCGTAACGCTGACAGGCGCCTGAGCGTCCATTTATTCAGTTTTTCATTGTGTTTAAATTGTAGGTAAAGTAAGATTCCTGTTGTTCCCATTCTCTGACTGTTCAAAAATTGTTTTCAAATAGAGTAACCCTCACGTCATCAAAGGTGTGATTTTTCAATTTGCTGTGGGTTGAAAGTAAAAGGCTTGGCAGGGAACATATATGCGTTCGATGATTGTTGAATCTAATTCTAAATGGAGTGTGTGTTTGGCCTTCGTATTGCCTGTTACATACTCCACATTGCAGAAGGTATATGAAGTTGTCTGAGTCCCAGTCTAGTGCACCACTTATCCTGTGCCTACAATCCAAGTGGGTGCTTTCCGCCCCTGCCGTTGTTCGCATGTGTTTGCGTACTTTACATCTGCTTTTTCCGCAAGGGCGACTCACGGTTTGAGGTTTTATGCCTATTTGAAATGCGGAGCATTTCTCGGCAAACTTCGGCAACTTTGAGCGTATCTATCTATCTATCTATCTATCTATCTATCTATCTATCTATCTATCTATCTATCTATCTATCTATCTATCTATCTATCTATCTATCTATCTATCTATCTATCTATCTATCTATCTATCTATCTATCTATCTATCTATCTATCTATCTATCTATCTATCTATCTATCTATCTATCTATCTATCTATCTATCTATCTATCTATCTAGCCGCCTACTACATTTAGCTCTCCTGGCCGCTTCGATAGTGGTATCTATACCAAACTTGGCATGGCATAACATGAGTGTATGAAGAACATATTTGACTAGTCATGACTTGAAAATCTTGTTATGTATATCAAGAATGTCATGATTTACATTTCGCCCCGCCGTGGGGGTTTAGTGGCTAAGGTACTCGGCTGCTGACCCGCAGATCACGGGATCGAATCCCGGCTGCGGCAGCTGCATTTCCGATGGAGGCGGAAATATTGTAGGCCCGTGTGCTCAAATTTGGGTGCACGTTAAAGAACCCCAGGTGGTCGTAATTTCCGGAGCCCTCCACTACGGCGTCTCTCATAATCATATGGTGGTTTTGGGACGTTTAGCCGGACAAATCAATCAATCAATCAATTCATGATTTACAATTCATGGTCCTGTAGCTCTCGCGATAGCTCCGCTCACATGGCATGTTGCCAAACTGGTATGATATGACATGATTGCATGGCGAACACAAGTGACAGGCTCTAACATCAAAATCACGACATGCGTGTCATGTAACATGGCTACATGCCATGCTCATGATGCGCTCGCGGCGGTTTTGCTAGCGTACCTTATACCAAGTTTGATATTACAGTACCTGAATGGGTGACGAAGGTATGTGACTGGTGCAAACATGATAATCATTAGATGCATGTCATGTAACAACATGACTACCAGACAGTCTAATGATGCCCTGGCAGCCATATCACTACATTCATTTATACCAAATTTGGTATTACGGGACGTGAATGGGTGACGAATGTATGATACTGGTACAAACATGATAAACATGAGATGCGTGTCATGTAAGAAAATGACTACTCGCCACAGTCAAAGCGCCAATACATTTCGACGTGACGTGGTGCGCGTGCTCGCTGGCGTTGATTTGATCGCGTCACGCCGGCGTTACGATGCCAGGCGCCGGTTTTTTCATATACACGCAGGCGTGTGCCAGGCTGCGGCGCTATGACGCATGCGCCTTTCAGTTCATCCGGCATCCCTCCGCCATAAAAAGAGGGAGACGCAGTGTTGTCTGGGTAACGCATCGGCACGAGTTTCACGCCGGTTGCCGTCGGGCCACGCCGACAGATGTTGGTCGCGCCTGGCGTCAGACTATAGAGTGCTCGCGTTTCACTAACGTAGCGTCGCTGTGACCAGCGTGCGCGCGCGTCAACGCTACATCGGAGTATATTGGGCCCTTCATGATGCGCTCGCGACCGTTGGGCTAGCTCCACATATAGCGAAATCGGTGTTACGTGACGTCAATGGATGACGAAATATATGACTGATGCAAACATGATAATCCTGACACGCGTGTTATGTAAGAACATGACAACCTACCACGCTATTAGCGTGCTCGAGGCCGTTTCGCTAGCTCCACATATACTAAATTTGGTATCACGTGACGTGAATAGATGACTAAGGCTGGCGACACGTCTAAATATGATAATCTTGAGAAGGAAGTCATGTACGGTATCATTTACTTCCACCTCATAACGTTGCACTGATTCGAAAGGGACATATAAACCTTTCTTATTCATGCTTTGCATATCATCGATTCCCACTGTGCGTGGGATCTGTCTTTTCTTTTACATTATTAAATGATCTTTTATACTGTCCGGCCGCCTGCATACCACACAAGGAGGAGAAGCGAAAATTTTGGTTATCGCACGTTCTGTTCTATCATGTTAGTGTTTTCTTATGACCATTTTAATGTTCAGTGGGTTGGTCGTGAAAGTTAATAGCAAAGTTTGATTGTGACGCTGGTCTGCATTTTCCTTGTGGTTTAGAAAAGTCTGGGGTTCAAATTTTCTGCTTTTTAAGGGTCTCATTGATGACAGTTGGGGGGTATTCTTGATGAAAGAGTGCCTCGCGCATACGTGTGCTGTTTTTATGGAAGTCCTAAGTGCGGAAGCGTATTCATCTGAATCTCTCTGC